TCATCTCAATACATGCATGTTAGGGCATTGCCAAGGGAGCACACCTATTGCTTCTCCAAATACTCCCCAAACACATTGAAGGGATAACCTTTAATAGATATTGTCATTCTTAAATGCAGGCTAAACAGTAAACTGCAATGCCAGTGGTAATAACAGCACTGAAAATTCTGGACCTGAGGCCAAATTTGAGCCAAAGATTTTTCAAGAGGAACCAGAAATTCTGTTCATTTGATAATACCACTTACTCATCTCATGCTGAGTGCGAATCTAACTCATGTCTGGTGAAGAACTAGGCTTGTCTGAACGAATGGGCCAAGAGAATGTACCAATCTAATCAATTTATATGAGATTTAGCATATCTGAAATGCTATCTCAAAGCACATAAGCTGGTGCTACAGTCTCCCACATATCCACAATGGCCCTAACTATTAATTTTCTGGTAGCTTTTGGATCCAAGCACCTGCCACACCTCAGATTGCTGCCTTGGCCACTACCATGGCTATACCTTGAGGATTTTTGGTAGCCACTTCAATAGCACCTCAAAGCATGGCATGTAAACAGAACCTCAGATTGCACTGCCCTGCACACAATGAAATGCAAACTTCACTGAGCTGTCTTGCCTTTCCTTGGCTTGGATATTCTCAGGGAAACCTAAAACTTCAAATGACAAAATACAGAGACTCTAAATTAAAAGCCATGCCCATAATCCTTCCTGACACCTGTATTCCAAAACCCAGTGGTAAAACTGGAAATATGACTGTTAAATTTGAAAAACCCAATTAAGACCATATATTAATCTGCATAAGAATAGAATAAATCAATATTTCATTCCACTGACCTGCACTGTGTGGATAAATACTACAGTGTCTTAGGACTCCTTCAAACTATTATAGCCTATGCTTTGCTATCAATTTAGAGCACATGAACACTTGTTATACTTCAGATGGAACTAACATTGAAAATGACTTCTATGCCAACCTCCTTCCCAGCAGTAGTACTGAATTATGTTATGCATATTCTCAGAGATGAGGGCAGCAGTGAGGAGAGGAAATTGACCAGTAGTCTGGCATAACATTTCCTAATAAAACATTTACATTCTATTGTTTGGTCACAGAACAGAGGCCAAGGGGGATAACAGTGATCAAAGTTAAAACAGATTAAGCTAAACAATCAAATAAAGAATTAGAAACACACACAACAACTAGAAGCTCATTGCTGATCAGTAAGTAAGGGAAATCACGTAAGTCTTGGCAGCAAATTGCTGCTCATTAATAGGGTACTGATTATGTTTCTGCATGTGTGCCTTGGAACAGAACCTACACCTTGTTGACAAGTGGCCATTTTGCTACCAATTTCTCTTTATGCAACCATAAATTGTCAACAAGATTCTGGCCACTATGATATAAAATTATGAGACGTTGAAACAGTACCAGAAATTAACACAAGGCATGATGTGTTCAAGCCTACAAACAGGGCCAACTATCAATGTTTTCATCAAATATTAAAACCCTGTTACAGAGAGGATGAACAGAGTCTTTTGAGGCAAAGCATGACAGTGCCACAATGAAAAAGGCCCTACCACAAGTTCCCACCAACCATAACTCCAACAGTGGCAAGATGTGGTACACTTCCCCCTCCCCAAGACAACTTAACAGGGAGGACAAGATCATAAGTCTCTTGGGGTCCAAGCTTGCCTAGGCATTCAAGATGACCACCAACATTCTGACGTTGCTTGGAAAGACACAAGAATCCAGTGAAGATTAAAATTAATTTACTTCTCAGGTTAAAATGGGAGAACGAAGGAAAGACATTGTAAATAGATGGCACATAAAGAAAGCATTTGGTGCTTGTTGATTTGAGAGTTTGTCTGGAATATCTTTTTGATGTCTTATGCCTACAAAGTGGCGAAATCTCCTTTGAAAGATCTTTTCAGGACCCCTTATGTTTTTATTTCATAGGATTACTTTAAAATCTTGCAAAGCTCTTCATTTTTCTATTAGTATCAAACCACAGTGATAGATTTGTCCTTCCTGTAAGTGAAGGATATATATTTCACACACATTCCCTCTGTCTGTTCAGCAGAGACTAGGAAAACAGAATTTTGGGAACAGACTTCAAAGTGCAGAGACCATTACTTCATTTGGATGCAAATTAAAGCAACAAGGGAGTTTTCAGAAAAACAGCAGGTGTTGGTGTTTTTAAAAGTTCTATTTGGCTTTTCTTATGAGATCCATGTTGGACAAAGAAAATGTGTTGGACAAAGGAACTGTAGAAAGACACGGATTGCATTGTTTGGACCAAAATTATGGTGACAATCCATAATTTATTACATTTCTGGTCTCCTCTTAAAAGAATTATTTCTCCTGAAGTCTGAAAGACATATGGATTGAAGACTAATCTGGCTGGTAACTACTGGAAATAGGACAAGAATGAAATTTGGTCTGATCCAGCTGAACAACTTCTTACAGCCATTTGGTTCTGATTTGTGCAGGACCGGAATTCATTTTCAGAGTTGTTCAGTTCACAGGGTTTAATGTCTCGGCCACAATTATTGATTTCTACACTGCTGGCCACTAATAAAGCATATTCAAAGCTTGATTATTGATTACAGTACTACATAGCTGACTATAAATGCAAAAGTTCTTTCAGTTTGTTTTAGCTGGCAGTTCTGGTCAAAGTATTAATCCATGCAGCATTTGAAGTAGCTTGATTGCTTGGACCATTTATGTATCTTATTAAAGGGTCTTACTCTAATGTGGCTGTTTCAGCTAGATCATGGATAGTTTTGACTATGACTCTCATCAGCTCCAACCAGCAGGCATAAGATTTGGGATTGATAAAATGTAGTCCATAGCATTCTAGACGGTCCCAGGCTGTTTGTCCCTAAACTTTACTGTATGTCAATGTTTCACCAGAAACAGGAACAATTGCTGTTTTTTCACCACAACACCTAGAATACTCTTTTTTTACCACAACACCTAGAATACCTATGTTAAGAGGACTTAACATAGTTAACTATGGTTATGCAGACAGCTGTAGAACAAAAATATTAATTCTTCCATCTGTGTATTTTCTTAGTATTCTGCCATAAAAAGGGCCAAGCATATGAGTGGGATGAGTGAGCCATTTTCATTAGATTTCCTCTCCTCTCCCCTGTGTCTATTTGGAAATTTCAACATCCAGAAATTTCATGAAAGATAGCAATGGACTAACAAGAGTGGCACGTCTGAAAGGTGAAAGGATTAAGGGCGTAATATAGTCTCAATAACAGCTGTAAAACAAACAGGTTCCCAAGAAGGTTAGCTTCTGCTTGGGGATAGTCCTAAACTCTCTGCTATTTCAAACAAAAAGATTATCACCATGGAAAGCCACCATGTATCCCCACACTAAGAATTATTTCACTGCAGTGCTGTGGCCTGATCAATAACAATGGTATCAAGCAATTATGAGTAATGCTGGTTCTTGCATAGCAAAAATTCTATGCACAATGATCTCACAGCATAACTATTTTTAAAGGGTAATTCCAACCATTATGAGCATCCTCACCACTGCAACTCTCATTGCAGTTGGATGGCTACCTCTCTCTTGGGCTACCAGCATGCATTTGAAGAAAGTGCAGAGCTTGGAAACATTTCTGTTAAAACTAATGTATTACAATCAAATCTTTAAACAAAATTAATTTGTTGACATTCGTGTATTGAAAGAAAAAATTAATAAATTGATCTGGTATGTTAATTGTAGTTTAAAATGCTAAAATATAATTAAAATGGCAAAATTTAGCCGAAAATAGTTAGCACATCCAGCCACACTCCCCTGTAATGGAATGAATTGCTCCTCACAAAAGTTAACATCACTAACATTTATTCATGAAAATAACAAATGTTTAATTTGTTGTTGAAATTTTAAATAAATTAGGGGCAATAAATTAATTTTTTAATGAATTATTTCCAAACTCTTCAAGAGGAACAGGATATGAGAAGAGCAATTGCCTTGATCAATAGTCTACAGAAAAACTCCAGAGACAATCGATCTACTGGAGAAATGGAAAATACTGACCTGCACGTATAAGCTAAAAATGAAGCATTACACCATACTTAAGAAGCAGATTTGTGGCAATAAAGAAACAGAAATTACAGTCTTCCAAATAAGTAAAAATGCTGCCAAGACTTAGGAGCAAAAAGCTATTCTACATTATTTCTTCTTATACACAATATTTAAAGTTTTAAAGGCTGGAAACACCACTCAAAATCTTTTTGATTCATTAATAATGAATCTGCATTTTCAAAACCAAATGCTAGGCTATGTAGAATGTTCTTGGGACATTATAATTCACTTCAGAAGCAAAAATGTCCATTTTAAAGACCATCTATCCAACGCACACTATTCATATAATAAATGATGTGATATGATTTTGCCATATCATTTTTTTCCCACCAAATCATGGTAATACAGTGAATAACATTCAGATCTGGACTCTACTTATGCCCTATATAGGTAACATTAATCCTGCTATATGCAACATGCGAATAAAGGAGTGCCCAGCCTCACACCCTCCATTGTTGCTTTCTTCAAGCAGACAAAGTCTGCAGACAATGTAGTAGAGGATCTCTATGTGAGCAAGAATTCTGGAATACGGCATTATTCAGTGAATTCTGAATACTTCCAAATCTGAATGCACATCTCTACTTAAAAACCACTACTACTTACTTCGCATACTAAATGCATACTACATTTTGTGCTTTGAAGTCTGTCATATATCAATGTGTTCAGTATATGCCTGAAGAAATAATTGAGACCTAACATGCAATTTGTCCCTGCTTCTACCATTTCAGGAATACCTTTAGGCTGCAGTCTTCTGCATGCTTAATGACAGTGAACCCTAATGAACAGAGCTGGGCTTAATCTGAGGATTCTTTTCTTCATTCACTATTTACTTCTTGTACACAACCCGAAGGGGGAAAAATCTGTGACAGTAATAATATATAAATGTCTGTACTTACATGTGTCAGGCTTGAGTTGACTGTTTGTGATGCCAAAATACTGAGGATTTTCAATAACAGGAATTTTTGTCATTCCGATAATTACAGCATCAGGACCGCCCTCAGAAGAAGATGGAGTGTTGCTCCCATTCGAGATATGATGGAGAGGACTTGCTGAATCGTCGTCATTACTGATAACTGAAGAAGGACCTAAAGTTAGAAACAAAGATTCCCCTGTAACTTGACATAATTCTTCCCTCCCTCAGCTACCACTTTGGCATTCACCACTGCACATACAGGACAACATCCTGTAAGACTCATACAACAACACACTGAAACAATATATGGTTTCATACCAAGACTATGTAGACATCACCTAAAGTACCTTTGAGGCAACATGTCCACCTGTGGAACTAAGTCAGTTCTTTGCTTGCTTGGGTCTCAAGTGCTTGTCTCTGATCTCTTTAGGCAAATACCCACTTGGAACTCCCTTAGACTATGCCATCTCTACCCAGAGCTGACAAGTATCCTTGATGTTGGCAGTTTTCTGAGTCTTTTTTTTTAAACCCCCCTCCCCTTATTGTTCTGCACAGGCAACTGCCATATCCTGCACAGCTCGTTGCCCTTTTCGGTGAATCCTGTGCAGGAAAGATGCCATGCTACACAGGAACTGTAGTAATCCAAAGCAGCTTGGAGTTGGAGTTCTTTCCAAGAGAAATGACCAGAACATTTCAGAGACGCCCCCTCAACATTTCTGTGCAGTTTCTCAGGGGGAAAAAAACCCTCACATACAGGAGCCAAACTGTAAGGAAGAAATAGAACCCCCACCTTTCCCTCAGAAAACAAAAGGCTGCAAGATACGCATTCTTTCTCAGAGCACACCCTACTGACTTGCTCCCGTGATAGATTCTGAGGTGTAGGCGCTCACCAAGATAGCTTCCATAGTTATGATCCCAAGGAGAGTGAAAGATGAGGACAAATATGTTTATCGATTTCAGCAACACAGCTCATATTTCTGAGAGCAGAGATAGTGACCTTCATCTCTACCAGCAGTATATCTTTTGCGAAGCTAATGGATCTTAATTGCAAGTTAGGAACAAGTCTCGACCACATCAGATTACAGCATGACTATCCCAATACAACATTCATTGCTGTGGGTAAAATCCATTCCCCAATATGGTACTATTGGGGTTGCGCAAATGTTTGAGGGATAGTGGTGTCACACAGTATCATCATCCCTACAGTTTTGACTCTGTGAGCCCTGGCACCACTACATCCTCCCTCCCTCCTTTGCTGCTTTTCTCCTGTTTACACCTGGGAAACTGAGAGCACACCCCACAGTTGAATCTTTATACTTGCTCTTAAAAGAATATGTTGGAAACAGTACAAATATGTAAGTGAAAACTGTCAGCCTAAGCTCATATGATTTGCTTGTAAGATACTGGAATAGGAGCAGAAAAGAAGTTCAAGTACCACATGCTTCATGTACCAGGAATGACATCCATATGCCTCGATAGTGACACAGAGAGATATGTGTGAGAATTCTACTTTGGATAGGACAATAGGAAATTGTCTTATATGGCATCAGATGACTGGTTCATCTAACTCAGTAGTTAGTCAACACTGACTAGAAATGGCTATTGAGAATGTAAGTCAAGAATGGTTGTTGTGGGTTTTTCTGGCTCTTTGGCCGTGTTCTGAAAGTTGTTCTTCCTAACGTTTCGCCAGTCTCTGTGGCCGGCATCTTCAGAAGACAGCACTCTGTGCTCTGGTCCTTGCTACTCTGAAGATGCCAGCCACAGAGACTGGCGAAACGTTAGGAAGAACAACTTTCAGAACACAGCCAAAGAGCCAGAAAAACCCACAACAACCATTAGATCCCGGCCGTGAAAGCCTTCGCTAATACAGTAAGTCAAGAACCTTCCTTTCTATTACCTGGAGATACCAGGCCTTGATACTGGAATCTTCTACATGCAAATAATGTGCTCTGTTGCTAAGCTACAGCCCTTTCTTGACATAACGTTCTTCTCCTGACTCAAATGGACATCTAACATAGAACACAGTTGGGGAACATAGTGGTCCTCCATATGTTGCTGGACTAGAACTCTTATCAGCCAGACTAAAGGTGATGCGTAATGGGAGTTAAAGTCCAATAGCTTACAATCCAATAACCACATTTCCTTTCCCTCATATAGAAAAATGTGAGAAATAGAAATCATATTTATTTGAAATATTTCTATGTTACTCCTCATCACATCAGATTCCAGAATGGTTACAAAAGTATATTTTAAAAACAACTAAGGCAGTCTTAAAAAAAAAAAAAACCACTGCTGAGGGTAAAATCCAGCACTGCTAAGTGGACATCCCTTTGTGTTCTCTACAGCCATCCATAATGTCCAAAATCTGGGAAGCCCACCACCTCCAGAATAGCCATGGTGGGCTGGGGGAGGGAAATCAATTCCCTCACCTATGCATTCCGGTTGATTAAGGGACACCATTAGATTTCTTTCTAACACTAAAGAAATAAAACCTGTAACACAAACGAGAGAAATGCACAAATTAAAATGACTAGTTAAATGAAGAAAAATGTCTTAACATGGAATTGATGGGTTTCAAAGGTGCTGCCAGGTGTGTCTCTTTAGGGAAGCAGTCCAAAGCTGAGGAAATGATTTCCTTTTTCATTGTATACATTTCTGATAAAGAAGGCATCGGGTCTCCTCCACATGTACTGCAACGTATGGCAGTAATTGCAAACCTCCTAGTACAATCATTCCAGCTGTAGTATCCTAGAAGGAACCCTCATTAAGATCAATTTCTAGTCCTCCTCATACCAAAAATCCTTCTATTAATTTCTACTCCTGACATGTTGAAATATTCAAGGGTTAATCAGGGGCTTAAGCAAAGGAAAAGTGCTTCTGAATAATTAAACGCCTTCTAAGAAGGCTCCTCACTGTCTTGTCCTAACACAAGATGGCTGAAGAAATTCAAAGAACCACAATTTCTCACACTGTTAAGGCAGAGAACCACAATTTCTCACACTGTTAAGGCAGAGATGGGCTTTCTGACACTGACCTCACTGAATGTCACTATTAGCACGCCATAAGGCCACTAGGCCAACAAACAATGATACTGTAAATGAAACCCAACTAAATATTCTATATGTTCTAAGAAAACATTAGTGTGGAAAACTAAGTCCATTTTACAATTAGTTAAAGGTAAAGGTTCCCCTTGACGTTTAGTCCAGTCATGTCTGACTCTAGGGCATGGTGCTCATTCCCATTTCCAAGCCATAGAGCCAGTGTTTGTCCAAAGACCATTTCTGTGGTCACGTGGCCAGCGTGACTAGACACGGAACGTCGTTACCTTCCCACCGAGGTGGTCCCTCTTTATCTACTCGCATTTTTGCATGCTTTTGAGCTGCTAGGTTGGCAGGAACTGGGACAAGCCATGGGAGCTCACTCCATCATGTGGATTCGATCTTATGACTGCTGGTCTTCTGACCTTGCAGCACAGGGGCTTCTGCGGTTTAACCCGCAGCAGCACCACGTCCCTTTTACAATTAAAGCTCAGTAAATCCCCTCAGTTGTATGATTTAACAGAGGCACCTTCAAATGTTCTGTAGTTCCAGCATTCTCTTGTTAATACAAGAACACTTCATCTTCACTCGTTCTCCTCACGTAGGCACGGGACACAAATGCACATTACATTAGGCATTCTGAGAGTAGCAAGGAGCAGAGTGGGTAAGAGCAACATGTGTCGCCGACCTCATCTGCTTTGCATCCGCAGAGAACTGTCACCCTTATGCCACATCCATATAATGAGACAGTTTGTTTTAAACAAAGGAAAGAATGAAGAAAGAGGCAGGTGTTTTCCACTCCTGTGCACAGTGTCATAGTGGCATGCAGTTTCAAGCACAGGCTCTGACAGTCTCCAAAGTCATGTCCCCAAGGACAGTGTAACCTGAATACAGTAGCTGTGTTGCTCCACATCAACAAAACAGTTTTAGCATTGTTCACCACCAGAAGCAGGCCTCTGGTAAAACTCATAGGCTTTCATTGCCCAGTTAAGATAAAGCCACCCCCCAAATACATCAGCAGTGATAGCTGACAAGTATATATTATCCCTGGGAAAATCCTCCCCATTCTATCTAATGTTAAGGAGTGCAGATAAACTCAGAGTGTCATCGTATCAGTTTCCCCAAAGCCCCCATTCTGGAAGCCCTGGTTCCACTACAGCATTGTTTACATGCCCTTCTACCTTCTTTAACTTGCTCGTTGTTATCATTTATTTGATGTATACCCTGCCTATCAGTTCAAGACAGTCACCAATCTATATAGCACAGTCACCGTCACAAACAATAAATATCTAAAATCTGAAATGACACTATGAAAATTACAAATTAACAAAACAAATCTAAAGAAAATGTTGGATGCTTCACAACCGAGAGTGCCTATGGATCACAATTAAAGGGTTTTCCCACCAGCTATTCTGTTTTGTTTTCTGGTTTTTTGCTTCAAACAACTTTCTCTAGTGAGAAAATGCTCAGAAGAAACAAAGAAAAAGCATCAAAGGGTTGTACATTGAAGACAACATTGTCTAGTAACTAGTTATTCCATAAATGTCTGCAAATGGGGCATTGTGGAAGCATCCCTTGTTTGTCCTAAATCTATGCTTGCTAAACATTTTGGAGTATCTTGTTCTATGAACAAACTTTCTGCAAACTGCTTTATCTCTTGCTTGTTGGGGTTATAGGAGTTATAATGCAACACATCTGGAGGGTGCCAGGTGAGAGCGCTCCCATAAGGACCCTAAGTTGAAAAGTTCAGTGGTTTAGGTCTCTGGGTGAGGAGCAAGAGGTTGGGAGTTCAGTTCTCTGCTGTACCTCCAGGCAGAAAAAGCCACCCTGCACAGTCTTGGGTAAGCTACACCGTCCTAGGATGCCCCCAAAGAGAATGGTAAACCTCCTCCTCTGAGTACTCTCGACCTAGAAAATCCTGAAAAGGGTTGCCATCGTTCAGAACTGACTTGGATGACACACAATTGTTATTATTTTCATCTTGAATAGCAAGTGTCTCACTCATGGATAGCATACTTCCTTTTCCATGAAAAACAGTTGTGCCAGCAATTCTGGGTCTGTTTGAAATTGTACCTAAGTGTACCTGTGAGTCAATATGCTTTAATGAGATGATACTGAAGGAGACATGTCTCCA